GCTGATAGGATTGCCAGTTCTTTCTCTAATCCCTTGTCTCACAGTGCCTATAATAGTAGAGAGTTTTTTTTTTCTGTATACTTAAAGCATACTCCTATAGTTAGGACTGAGGATTTATCTAAGCAAGTGCCTGATGTAATGCTTTTGTAGATACTCAGTATGCTGAATTTAGTAAAACCAAGATGAGTTTATTCCTCATGTTTAAAACACAAAAGAGTGCTTCTAGGGGCTCTGGCCAACAGTGCCCTTGATCTTGCTCAAAGATTACCCCAAAGAGCACTGTCCCCTTGGCTGAGATGCCACAAAATACACTCCTGCTTCTGGCTCTTTCCAGGAGGGTCCTCCCAGGTTCACCCAGAATCGCCACATGAGTTATCCTGGGAATGCAAGCAGGGATTTGGAACTTTTGACCTGCAGGAGCTCCTAAATGTTTGGTGGTGACTCAATAAATTTTTCTGTGTCTACAGGAAGCTATAGTGACATCAGTGGAGCTGGGTGATGACTGGGAGCGCACAGAAGTTCTACATAAGAAGTTTGAAGAGTTTCAAGTGGACCTGGAAGCTCGGAAGGGTAGAGTGGATGGAGTAAACCACTATGCCGATGAGTGTGCTAAGGTGAGGGGACAGTAGAAGACCTATTCCAGGGAATGGGTTCTGATCTTCAAGAAGTTCTGGGCATTAGTAGGTGGAATATGAGGGAGATGAGACAGTATGAGAAAACAGAGGGATGCATGTCCCTGGAGGAACATGCCCTAGGGAGTTTCCTCTCCTCTCAGGCTCACCCTTTGGCAGTTCATGGAAATGGAAGTGTGAATGTGCATGCGTGTGTGTGTGTGTGTGTTTAGAAAAATTAGATCCACAATGAGCAATGAGATGGCTCTTGTACCACACAGTACACTAATTACTCATGTTTATGGGGCACTTTTTCTTTATGAAAAGTAAAAAGAATAAAGCAGCCGAGAATATAAAATAATTTTGAGCTATCATTATATATATATTATAAACACATGCACACACACATATATGATATCATTATACATGATTATTCTGGGGTGGTAGGAAGAGAAAAGGAGCCGAATTAACTTTCATTTACTTAAGAAAATTCTTAAATAAGTTTGTGATCTTTGTGCAGGTGAAGGCTCATTACGGGAAAAAATGACCCTAGTATACACAAGAAAACTGGGAAACCAATCTGATTTTATACACACACACACACACACACACACGATATGTGTGTGTGTGTGTGTGTGTAATGTACATAAAATAAATAAACTCTAAAAGTTGGTTATATTGTGATTTTCCATTTATGGTCTCATTATGATTGCAGCTCTGCAGTGGGAATGACTTTTCTGTATTAATAGAACGAAGATATCAGAATAAATGTTTACTGCAGTAGGGAAATAATTTGTTTCCCAATTTTTTCTAGGCCACATTTCCAATAGTCCCTAAATTTTCTCCCTTCACCACTTTTCTCTCATTGTGGAGGTTATTTATTTATTTATTACTTTCTAACAAACCACCACAAAACTTAAACAACAAATATCTTATTGTTCATGATTTAGTGAGAAAGATATTTGAGCTGCTCAGATGGGCTGTTCTGATCTCACTTGGTATTCTAATGTGGCTGAAGTTATTTGGATGCTCACTTGGGATGGACGCTCCAACGTGGCCTCAATCCCATGTCTGGGGCGTTGGCAAGGATGACGAAGGCTTTCTTCATGTGACCTATTGCCATTTAGTTTAATATGCTTCTTTATATATCAGTGTTTCAAGAGGATGAGAACAGACGCTAAAAGGCTTCTTGAGGCTTGGGTGCTGGATCTCATAGAAAATTACAAATTATTTCTGCTACATTTTACTTCTAAGCAAGTCAAGGTCCATCTCACATCCAAGGCATGAGGATACAGACTATACCTTTTGAAGGAAGGTGGGGCAAAATAACATGGCCATGTTTTTCAATTGCCACAGAAAGAATGAATGCAACACAGTTAGAGTATATCCTTTGCTCTTTTGGAGAGTATATATCACTATAATAAAAATAACTATGTACTCAAGAAGGAGAATGTAGAAAATTATCTGGAGAGGCTTGGGAATGGGAATAAAACTAGGAAGAATGGGTACAGGTGGAGTAGGGAGACTTGGGCATACAGGGACTTCTCAAAATTGCAAAAATATCAAAACAGGCTGATACTGCTAGCTTAATCTAGTAGTCATAAGTCTTATTGCTCCGGATGATTTGTGAAAATGCCTGAAATTTTCTGTAAAGTCTTTTGTATAAGGATGTGTGTATAATTCTGGGAAAACAGAAATAGCTTTCATTGTATTCTCAAAGGTATCAGGATAGCTGTAGAGCTAGGGCTGTGGTCTAGTGCTCAAAGATCCCTAGAGCCCATTCACAAACCCTTCACAGGCAGATCTATGAGCTAGGTAACAGCAGCAAGGTCCTTGGAGCCATAGGTGAAGAACACACATGTCTAATACCTAGGCAGTACAAAGGAGAAACTCAGAAACTCAACTGCTACTGGCAAAGTCCAAAGAAAAACTGAATCTGAGCAGCTGCCAGCAGAGTAAACATGCTCTATTTTAAGACATGAGCTCTCTGCTGGCCAGCTTGCTTCACAAACTGAGGAACACACAACAGCAATAACTAAAAAGATGCATCGATGCACATGCACATTAACTCCACCCACACACAACTTGTTTACTAAGAAATTAGAATGTGCTGCTCAACCCCCAACCAGACCTGAGTGAAGGGAGCCTGACTAAATTATCCTATTTTCCCCACAATGGCAAAATAGATAAGGACCACAGTACTAGAGTTTTGGAAAATTAAGCAATATTTCACAAGGGGAATGTTCTCTTCCTCTACTTACTTTCCAGAATTTCCAGGGGATATGACAGGTATCAACAAGATGGAGCTCTGAAAATAACATCAGGGCTGGGCACCTTGTATTAGTAGGCTCGTCCAGTGGTGAGGGCACAAGATGCAATGTGTGGAAGGCTGATTTTCTAGGCTTTGGTAATGTGGATGAGGTAATACAGCTAGTGAGCAGAACTATGGTGAAATTCAGTGTCTGGCTATAATGACCATTCTCCACTTCTGGCAAAGAATGAACTAGTGTGAAATGAGCAGTATTCAATAATTGTGCCGCCAGAGGGAACAATAAACTTACTATTTTTAATGAAGGAGAAATTCTGCAGCACTTGCATATACTTCCTCATTCTATTTCATAATTTGTACATGGATACTGGATACTCCTTATTTTTATTTAAATAGCTATTTAAATATACATATATATGTTTTAAATTCTTCTCTGTTTTATGTAACATGTTTCACAATTTAAAAACAAAAAATACATCTCCTATAATGGTTTCCCAATTTCACTCAGTAAAATACCCCGTGGCCAGAGAGTCTTTCCTTTCATCTAACCACACTTTCTTCTGTTGCTGTTGAATCATATTTCTTTTTGTCCTTCACTCGGTAGATCATAGAAACATTTTTTTCCCTCCTTTTATAATAAACTCCAGGACACTTAAAGCTAAATCTACCTTTAGGTTCTCTTCTAATAGCTGGAAAAACTCCATTCCTGTATCTGGAGGAGTAGACACAGACATACTACTACCTGGAGCAAGACTGTATTCTTGAGTGATTCCCATCTTCTATTTTTTTCCCTCACAGCTGTAGCCATTATTTAAACCAATTACTACCGACTGAGCGTCCACAGGGGAGTCAGCCCACAGAAAAATCCACACTTGCTGTGCTTTAATTATTGCCCTATCCCTGTGTTCAGTTTCTGCAAACGTCTGCTGTTCTACTTATGCTTTTATTCTCCCTTATTTTTTTGTTTTTGGTCTTTTTTTTCCTAATAATGAATAATAAAACCCCACAATTTGATGAATACTGATAATGAAATTCTAAACCTCAGACAACACTCAGTTATAGTGCAGTATAATAAAATGACTAATGGTAACACGTGGTAAGTTACCCATATCTACATTTTGCCCTAATAACGCTTTTCTCAGGAATTGTGCTTAAAATGGTCTGGTATTACTGGACTTTTCTTGTCCTTCTGGGCAGAAATGTCTGACTCTCACAATAATATTTAGGAAAACTGTGGGGGTGGGGGTGGTGAAGGACAGACTTAGGTCTGAGCCTTGCTTCTGACACTATCTAGCTGAATGACCATGAACAAATAAAATACTTTATGTCCTAGCTTTCACATTAAAAGGGAATAAGAATAGTTTCTACCTCATAGTATTATTAAAGAATATAAAATGAGAAAATGCATGTAAAATGCCTAGACAATGAGATAAAAAGTACTCAGTAAATTATTAATATAGCATATTAATATATTAACATAGACATAGCGATATAAATATATTTATAAATTAGTAATCATATGATTGTTTTGTTACATACCTCCCACAAAACTTTGTCAAGAATCAGAGTACCTGGATTTCCTACTTTTTTTTTTTTTAAATCCCAAAGGTGAAGGAGTTATGTGCCAAAGCAGACAAGCTGAAGCTTTCTCATCCTTCAGATGCACCTCAAATCCAGCAGATGAAAGAGGATCTGGTGTCCAACTGGGAGCACATCCGTGCCCTGGCTACTAGCAGATATGCAAAACTGCAGGCTTCTTACGGGTGGGGGAACCCTCCTCTCTATTGCTCTGCCTATCTCTACAGGGCCCACCTGTAATAGAAAATGCAGAAATGAGGAAGAATGGAGTAAAATAGAGAGGGACTCAGCTCTTCTGCCTGCTCAGTAGAGGCAACAGAAGTTTTAATTTTCCAAGGGAAGTCCTCTGTGGGCTCATGTAATACAGTACTCAGCATCACACCTCCACCCATCAATGTCCCTCTGTCTCCCCCTGTTTGTGTAGTTGTAGTATGTTATGAAGTGGCCCCTAAAACTAGAAAAGCATCTGAAGTAACATTTCAAGATCTTGGCTATAGCTGAGGAGCTGAAATAAAGTCCTAAGCTAAAGAGCATAAAAATAACTTCAAAATTATCTCCCAAATGTAGGTTAAAAACTTATGAAACACCCAGATAACCAACCACCTTCTCAGTAGTTAATTCTTACAGTTAGTTACTAAGTTACCAGAAGATGGTGTTTATCTTTTTGTTGATTTAAAACATAATGTTGAGCATTTAATATTTGTGAACAGGTAACCATTGTTTGCAGTTTGTTTTATATTAATAGAGTTAAATTTGAGCTAAGATTCATGAGGAATCCTAAACCTAATTCTAGTCCCTTCTTACCACAAGGTGCTTCCTGTTATTTACCTGTCATGTGTTTATTTATTGGCTGCATTGTGAGCACCTCATTCTATTTCAAATACGTGTGGAGTAGGTGTGGCTTTTGGGGGGTGAAGATGTAATGCCCATTTGTTGCATCACAGAATGACACTCTACCCTATGAACACACAGCCCGGGGTGGAGAACTTACAGCTATACCACTGAAGGAACTCTGACTGTAAATAACAGGATGTGCATCAGGGGAAGGAGAGGGGTAGGATTATTGGAAGAGAAGCACCTAGCACATCTTAGCTCAACCCACCCCTAACTGTTCAAAGTCCCTTCATATCCAGTTTTTCCTTCCTGTTCTTTACCTCGCCTTCCCCACAGGTACCAGCGCTTCTTATCTGACTACGATGAGCTCTCAGGCTGGATGAAGGAGAAGACCGCTCTGATCAATGCTGATGAGCTGCCCACAGATGTGGCTGGAGGGGAAGCCCTGCTGGACAGGCATCAGCAGCATAAGGTAGAGAGGAGAAGCCTCCCCAGTATGAGGAGGGAGAAGTGACTTGGCTCAATGCCAGGATTGCCAGAAGGTTTCTTGCTGCATTTTGAGACATTTTGTCTTGTGACCATAGCATGAGATTGACGATTATGATGACCGATTTCAATCTGCTGATGAGACTGGTCAAGCCCTACTGGATGCCAATCATGAAGCTTCTGATGAAGTTCAGGGAAAGGTAATCTGGTTTTAACAGTTTCTGCAATCTTGATTACATAGTTAGCACTTACTTAATCTGGTAATAATATGGTAATCTCTGAATGGGAAGAGGATAGAAGTCATCTAAACATGTTAATATGGACCCAACTTTTACACTGCTCTCTTCCACACACTGCTTTAGCTAAATTGAGTCACTTGGAATTCTCAGGACACAATGCATGCTTCCTCACCTCTGAGCCTTTATTTCATCAACCTTCTGGCTTTACCTAATTTGAAACCCCCGTACCATTTTGCTGCATTACATATGCTCTGTTCTATCACGTTCCCATCCTCATATCTAGTTTATTGGCTGCATTGTGAGCACCTCATTCTATTTCAAATACGTGTGGAGTAGGTGTGGCTTTTGGGGGGTGAAGATGTAATGCCCATTTGTTGCATCACAGAATGACACTCTACCCTATGAACACACAGCCCGGGGTGGAGAACTTACAGCTATACCACTGAAGGAACTCTGACTGTAAATAACAGGATGTGCATCAGGGGAAGGAGAGGGGTAGGATTATTGGAAGAGAAGCACCTAGCACATCTTAGCTCAACCCACCCCTAACTGTTCAAAGTCCCTTCATATCCAGTTTTTCCTTCCTGTTCTTTACCTCGCCTTCCCCACAGGTACCAGCGCTTCTTATCTGACTACGATGAGCTCTCAGGCTGGATGAAGGAGAAGACCGCTCTGATCAATGCTGATGAGCTGCCCACAGATGTGGCTGGAGGGGAAGCCCTGCTGGACAGGCATCAGCAGCATAAGGTAGAGAGGAGAAGCCTCCCCAGTATGAGGAGGGAGAAGTGACTTGGCTCAATGCCAGGATTGCCAGAAGGTTTCTTGCTGCATTTTGAGACATTTTGTCTTGTGACCATAGCATGAGATTGACGATTATGATGACCGATTTCAATCTGCTGATGAGACTGGTCAAGCCCTACTGGATGCCAATCATGAAGCTTCTGATGAAGTTCAGGGAAAGGTAATCTGGTTTTAACAGTTTCTGCAATCTTGATTACATAGTTAGCACTTACTTAATCTGGTAATAATATGGTAATCTCTGAATGGGAAGAGGATAGAAGTCATCTAAACATGTTAATATGGACCCAACTTTTACACTGCTCTCTTCCACACACTGCTTTAGCTAAATTGAGTCACTTGGAATTCTCAGGACACAATGCATGCTTCCTCACCTCTGAGCCTTTATTTCATCAACCTTCTGGCTTTACCTAATTTGAAACCCCCGTACCATTTTGCTGCATTACATATGCTCTGTTCTATCACGTTCCCATCCTCATATCTAGATTGTAAATTCTGTGAGGACTCTGCACCTCATTCATCTTACAGTGCATTTTCTTCCCTCCTATACAATCTCAAGTCGAACTGTTTTTTCCTATATATGTGTCTCTAAAATTTACATTAAATAACATAAAAGCTTTAAACACTCAGAATTCCACTGAATGATGAAATCAGGTTTGCCATCAAGCTAATCTCCTGGATCATGGGGGCTTACCTCGGCTCCCTGACCCAGAGCAATTTTGCCCCAGCACTGAGTCATCTTGGCACTCCTTGGAATGATAATCACAATAAGATTGACATGACTCTTTGCCTCTCCCTAGATTCCAAGCACAGCTCCAGGGCTGTGTGAAGGATGAGGTGGAGATAATGTTTCGAATTGCCCCGGAACTCTGTGAGAACATTAGAATATAGATTTTTATTGTTAACAATTTTATGCCAGAGGTAGCAGAACCCTAAATCCTTGAAAATTTATCTATTATCCTGGGATTCTGAGAATTTGCACTGCTTTTTTTTGATGAAGTTAATTCAGCAGCACCTATAACTAGCTGGAATTTCTTGGCAGATTCTATCCCAATTTGTGCTAATTCCCACCTTGCTCTCCAACCCCCTTTCCTCCTTCCTTAGTCCTCATCTCAGAGATATTCCAAGAGGAATGTTTCTCAACAATGAGGCACAGCTGGGATGTGTTTTTCTTTGTTCTACAGGCCTTTCTGGAAAATGAGGATCTGGGAAACTCACTGGGCAGTGTAGAAGCCCTTCTTCAGAAGCATGATGACTTTGAGGAAGCCTTTACTGCCCAGGAAGAGAAGATCACGGTAAGAGATGGTCTCTGGTTTGGGCATTTGCTTCCTTCCTGTTTGTATACATCGTCTCATACAATACCTGTACTTAGATAGAATCACTCCTACAGCTATCAGACATAGCATGAGGATTATTCTTAAAGTTACATCCCTTGTTTTATTGTTGGTAATGCTTATATATATTTTTTAAACTCTTTGATTCAACTTTATAAAGATATAAACTGATAGCATAAAAGCCCAAACTTAATACATATAATTTGAAAAAAGAAAAGAGAAAACATTCAGAGAAATAATCATACCCATTTTTATCGATATATTTCTTGTTCTATAAAGCATACTTAAAAAGTTTTTCAAGATAACAGGCCATTATTATTTCTGATAAAGTACATGATTGTGTATTACTTTTTCTGCAATGAATATAGAAACTATTGGATCCATATTCAATATAGAATTATAATGTCAAAGTTTGAAATGTATTCTTATCTTAGTTTTCCTCCCTAGTAATATCTTAATATAGGTTTCTTATTTTTAGTAATATCTAGTTATGTATAAGCAATATAGACCCTTTTCCTTTACAGTATATCTTTTCTTTATAGTATATGAGGGTACTTCAAAAAATTTGTGGAAAAATAGTATTAAAAGATACTATGAATATTTCCATCAACTTTTTGTAGTACCCTTCATATCTTTATCTTTGTGCTTCTCATCTAATGCTATTACAAAGTTTTTCTGTTAACCTTAAGTTACAATGTCCCAGAAAAGTGGTCAATATATAAGCAACACTCAGAGAAATGTGAGGAAGACTTCCTAGGTCCAATATGATTATGTCTTTGGCTGTCTCCTAGGATAGTGCTGACTTAAAACTCTCTCTCTCTCTCTCTCTCTCTCACACACACACACACACACACCAGCACCACCACCAGCACCACCACCAGCAATAACAACAACAACAACAACAATCAAATTCTAAGTCTTCCCTGTTAATCTTCCAACAGTGTGGGACTTAACATGCTTGTTGTATTGATTCTCACTGGTAAAAGCTAACAGTGTAAAACAATTTATTGTTTATGAAATGCTATCATTTATGTTATATCATTTTCCTATTCCAACCAATTAATTAATTCTGAGCTCTAACAATTTGGGGATTTATGGTTGACAATGGGTAGATATTTACCTCTACAGTTTCTGACTCCCCTTCCCATGTAGCTGTAGATATAGATATAGATAATAGATTGATGGATGGATGAGTATATAGATATACAGATAGACAGACTGGACACTAGGCATGGCTCTTGAAGATTTAGGAAAAGATCAAATATTCACCTTGCAGTGACATCTGAATTCATTAACCTGGATTTTAAAATATTGTACACAAAAAAGATAATTGGCATGCCTGAGGTATATATTTTGAAATACAATTTATAACAGAAATCAGAACTAGGGCCTAGATCTGGAACTCAAACCTGCCCTCTTCCCACATTGCTATGCTTCATCTTTAAACAGCTTCACAAACTGTGGTTACTTACTCAGTGATCACTGAGGGAAATCTACTTTATTATTTTTCAGACCTTAGATAAGACCGCAACAAAACTGATTGACAATGACCATTATGATTCAGAGAACATCGCTGCTATCCGTGACGGGGTACGTCCAAGGGCCCAGAGCTCTGCCTGCCTGTGCACTGGGGACCGGGAAAGTGTTGGGAGCATGGTGACCAGGGAGGGCAATAAGTCTCCTGTGTCCATATTTAGTTTTGCTGACAGTTTACTCCTGGGTTTTGCAGCTGTTGGCCCGGCGGGACGCCCTACGTGATAAGGCTGCCATTCGACGTAGATTGCTGGAGGATTCATTAATTCTGCAACAACTGTATCAGGACTCAGATGACCTAAAGAACTGGATCAACAAGAAGAAAAAGATGGCAGATGATGAAGATTACAAAGTAGGCAGAGTTTTCAGGCCCTGGATGTACTCAGGAGTTAGTTTCATGGAATTACAGTGTTGGAGCTGAATGGACTTTGGTATTCAGCTAGTAATCCTCATTTTATTGATGAGGAAACAGAGACTCAATAAAGGGCAATGACTCTCCTAAGGTTATATATCTAGTTCAAAACCAATAATCTAGATTCTGGTTTTCCTGTGCCCTGCTGTCCCTCACCCTTTTCCTCTGGCACAACTTCCAGTGGTCCTTAAAAGAATGTGGGGAGGGAGGAAATGATCTTTATCTATATTGTCGCTTTATCACCTCTTCTGCTCCCCTCCACATCTTTGTAGGTGGAAAAATATTGTGTCTAATCCCAATGATACATTCAAATTTTTTGAAAGTTACTGGGAACTCAAAAGTAACTTAAGAGTTTGTGTAGTATAGATTTACTCAGTTTTGTAGCTGGAAGGGAACAACATTTTATTTTATAGAAGAGGAAACCAGGATCTGAGTTGGGAAGTGAGTTGCCCAAAGTTATCTAGTTATTTAGAAGGAGATTTAACATAAAGTTTAGAAGCATGAACTCTGGAGAAGGTGAACGTGGGATTGAATTCTCACCATCTACTCTTTTAGTTTGTATAACTATGGATATTCCTGAATTATCTCTGAGCTGTAGATTTCTTTTCCTTAGGATTGTTCCAAAAACATATATTTCACTATAGTTTATATATAAACTATATGCATATAAAGTAATTTTTGTAATATAAACTATTATGCATACACATGTATACTCACAAGCCCTCACCTTTGTGACCAGAACTAGAATTAGTCTCTTGATTTCTAGGACAATACCTATTGAAATTGTTTACTTTTTCAGGTATAATTTAGTCTTAAATGTATACTTTTGATCCTTTCTTTTTAGATCTTAATAGAGCTGTGAATATCATATATGTATAGAGTACTTCAAAATGTAGTACCCTCTTATAAGATATATAATATTCTGTGAAACTAGGTAATATGTGTTTGTATTCTCTACAGGAGTTATGGTTCCAGTTGATACAGAAAAAGGAGATTTTCTCTGTATGGCATAAATAGAAAAATGGCTTATGTACTAGGGGAGGGATGGAAAACAATTTTCATCTTTCATGTCAGCTCTGATTGATTGTTAATGCTTGCATGGAGTGCCATATTCAAAATGATATTCAGTTCATATCTGGGCTCAGTAGCAATAAAAGCTGGACTTGTTAGCCATGTCTGTTACATGTATGCAGGAGAGATTGGCAGCGTGACTTTCCCAAACGTTCTACTAGGACAGTTTTTCTTTCTATCCTCTTCTTAGTGTACAGTTAGATTTATAGTGAGAAGTAACCCCCCATCTTCAAAATTTCTGCCCCTCTTTTTTCAAGTAACAGTTCCATTATTTTTTTCATCTTCTCTCAGGATGCACAGAACTTGAAAAGCCAGGTTCAAAAGCAGCAAGTCTTTGAACAGGAATTGGCAGCTAATGAGATCCTGCTTAATAAACTGGAGAAAACTGGCCAGGAGATGATTGAGGGAAATCACTATGCCTCTGACAATGTGGCTGCTCGTGTGAGTGAAGTTGCCAGCCTCTGGAAGGAATTGTTGGAGGCCACAGCCCAGAAAGGTTAGATGCAGAGATTTTAGTGGAAGTCCAATTCCTACATTCTGAAACTTATCTTTTTCAACTTTACCACTTTGAATTTACCTGGTAAACTTTATGAGAAAGGATGATACCTTTTTGCTTCCCTGTGTCTTCCTTCTGTTGGCCAAGCAGTTTTTAAAATCCAGCCTACATTTTTCACAGTAGGTATGAACACAATTTTTCTGTTTTCTTCATGTATGTAGGTTTTTTTTTTTGCTGAAATTATTTTTTATTTTTATTTTTAGTTTTCTCCTATATATTTTTTTCTCTTGAATAAATATTCATGAATCATTAATTCAGTATTGGCTATGTACTTAAATCTAGTGTGCTTAAATTTGATTTTAAATATTTTGTTTTTATAAACTAGTCAAGATATTATTACCCAGGTTATTAAATTAGACATTAAAAGACTGTTGATGTCACAAGTGATGTTCTTACAATATTTCATTCTAATAGAGCTTGATCACTTTTTGTAGTTTTTGCATATCTAAAAGTGTTCAGGCTCTGCTGTAAGCTCTTAAAAAATTCCCACATGTCTGCTTGAATAGTCTCTACTTATATTTTACCTCACCTCTTAGTTTGAAAAATTAATCAATTGTCAATAGTTAACACAAATAATGACATTTCTATGTCAGTGTCCCTCTTGTTATGAACATCATCTATAGACACAACTCTGCCCTGGCTACAGAAGAGATATGTCATACTGATTTCTTTCTTTCTTTCTTTTTTTTTTTATGGCATCTTAACTTTTGGTTAGGGAAACAAAATCCAACTTGGCTATAGCCAAGATGTTGCTACTATTCCCATAAGGAGACACAGTAATTGCTTAGCAGAAATAATGTACATAATTGCTATAAGATCACAGAATAAAGAATTTAGCTGAGTACAGTGTGAATAATCAAAACATTTTCTGGAAGAGAAAATTGCGTGGCATGTTTTGTGATGAAGGACAGGCACTAAAAGAGGAGATAGCAAAGTTCAGTGAAAGACATTTATAGAAAGAAACTTCAAATTTTCAAACTGAACCAACCTCACATTTTATTTAAAGTAAAAATGGAAGTCAGAAAACCATACAAATATGGCTTTGAAATCTACATGAAAGAAGAGAGTTTGGAACAGATTTTCAAAAGGTGGAAAGTTAAAATTTGTGTTTTTGTTTAAAAGTTTAATTTTAGGGTTAAATGTAAACAAAAAGAAGATGAACAGAGCATGTGGAAACACTTAAATAAGAGTGTGTGCCCCCATTTGGGAAAGATAAGGCAGCTGATCACCAAAAATTGGTTCTTCTAGTGGGAGTAAGGACCAAGATATGATACTTGTGAAGGAAACTTTAGATATGGAATGTTAAAGTTGGAAAAGATCTATAATATCCGCTGACCGAAAGTCTTTATTATACCCGTATAGATGAGGAAACTAAGATCACAATAGGTGAAAGAGCTTTCCCAAGATCAGAGGGCAATTGACTGGCAGCCAAGATTAGAAGCCAGGTCTCCTATCTCCCTAACCTGGGGCATCTTGCACTATATTAGAGATTTTCAAAGAGTACAGTGCAGTGGATCCATAATGATGATAATAATGAAGATGCTTGAAAATCTTTCTATTATACCATAATGTTTTCCAAAGTGTCCTAAGAAATGAGAACAATTGGATAATGAGAGATTTTAATTTTAATTATTTATGGAGCCTTTAATTCTTCATGGATAAGTGAGTTATATTTTCAGAAGCTATTGAACAATATTTTGCTCCAAGTTGAGGACAGATAGATCAAAAACTTTATAGGTTGATGGATGGCAAAATAGAATATGTAAAAACCAATGCCTGACCATCCTCTGTCTCTTGAATAACTTCTCTTATGTACACCCCCCAAATAAACAAACAAAACAACCTGATGAATAAAAATATTGGGTACTTTGTTTCTGCCAGGCCAGCTATATACTAATAATATTATTACTAATAATAATGGAATTCATCTCTTGTATCTATTTTACCATACAGGCATATAACTAAACTTTTATTTCTACGTAGATCCTTCAAAATCCTGTTTCTATATTCCTCCTTTCTTAGATATGGCCCAATTGGGAGCAACCAGGTCATGGTCAAGGCAATGCCTTTGCATTTCTCTTTCTGAGGTTCTGACATTTGTTTTGGTAACACCGCATTTTGTCTTGTAGGTATTGTTCCTGCTATGCAACACACTTAAGCCTCAGAAGTTTCCATTTTATTTTCAATTATGCTCAATTTAAAGGAGAGAAAGAGTAGGGGAAGGAAACTGAGATAGGAAAAGGCTCCCACTGTTTTATTTGAGGCCTCAATCTATCAACACACTCAAACAATTAGAACAAAACTGTGCAGTTCTGACTTTTTAAAATTTTCTTGGAGCACTCTATAAATATTTTGTCCTTTCTGAAATATAGTTTGAAAACTACTTTCCTATAAATAGCTCTTAGCTTGATGAGGTGATCTTTGATGTAACAACCCCTCCCACTCTATTCACTGATTTAATGGAGGTTCTAATAGAGTCTACTAAGGTCTGTGCATTGTTTGAGGGATCAAGAACACATATGGGAGCTGATTCTTTCATCCCCCTTCCATCCCCAACCAGGAGGAATTCCAGTCCCTTTCTGCTGAAGGATGAAACTTCCTGAACCTCATTCTATTTATTCCTCAGGATCAGGTGGACACCCTCACAGACTTGGCTGCGTATTTTGAAGAAAAAGGCCATCCTGAATCTGGGGACATACGGGCAAGGCAGGAGTCCTTGGTGTCTCAGTTTGAAGCTCTGAAAGGGCCACTAGCCAACCGCAAGAAGAAGCTCATTGACCTACTCCATCTGCAGCAAATCTGCAGAGACACAGAGGATGAGGAGGCCTGGATCCAAGAGACTGAACCCTCAGCAGCTTCTACCTACCTTGGTTAGTATTGTCTGAGCAGTCTGAGCCATAAGGAGATATGTGCATTGTTTGAGGGATCAAGAACACAGTAATGAGGAGGTAGAAACTTTGCTTTCAGCTTTCCCTTCTCAGACTCACAAAAATTTGTCTGGTCCTTCACAAATATTTATATATTTTTAAATCATATGAAAAAATTCACTTCCTAAAACCAGACATAAGTAATACCCTAAATTTAGGGCCTCTTGAAAGAGCTAGAGTGTCCAGCTTTTTTCTGCTGCCTCTAAAACTTAAGTTATTGTGAAGGTCCTTGACTGAGTAGTCACGGCTAATATTTGAGATACCAAGTATTTTTGTCTAAGTTGGGTGGCCGCCTTTTATATCTATATGATCCACTACATATGATCCACCCTACTTTTTACAATAAAGTGGGTGAAGTGGCAGATAAAGTTCATATTTTTCTATCCTTTGAAAGCTATTAGTTCACCAATGTCAGTGCCCGGACAATTACACTGAAGTATAGAAAAAAACATGCACATAAATTTAGTACAACTTTGTACACGTATTGGAGCATTTATATATTGGGAGCATTTAAGAGGAGGACCGGACAGCGATGACAGTGGAGGGTTAGTCTGGGAAAACAGAAAAGAAAAGCTTGTGGTTTATTGGAAAGGCACGGAGGTTTTTTGGAGAGGTATCTTGAATGGGAAGTATAGGAAAAGAAAGTTTGGAGGGAAGAGAGGTAAAGCATGGTTAGGAGACAGTGACGATGAAGTAGACAGCAGGAGCTGGAGATTTTAGAAGATGGAGGAAATTAGTAGACAGTATTTACTGTGTGATTTTAATGTTAGGCAACAAGGAAGGCACTTTTTATAAGCTATTTCTAAATTTTTACTGATTTAACTTCAAATCAGTAATACAAGGGTACCTCAAAAAGTTTATGGAAAGATTCCTGTATCTTTTAATTCTATTTTTCTACAAACCTTTAGAGATACTCTCTATTGTACCTTTTTCATGGTAAGAAAGGTTATGTTTAGAGGATTTAATAACTCTCTGAAGTTTATACAAATTATCAGGTGGCAGATTCTACCTTTTACACCACAATACACTGAGAGAAAATTGGTTGCATGATATTGGACACTTGAGCAAAGAGTTACTTGCCTTTCTACCAATCTTCCAATTAAAATATTGATTTCTTCATTATCTTCTGTAGAATAATAAATTTAATTTTCTTACTACAGAAAGGCAAAGGGAAGAACAAAGCTGAGTAGAGTTAATTCAGACAAAAGCTATACATTTAAGTAAGCCCACTCAATGATTAGAACTTTAAAAGGAAGAACCTGTAGATCCAAGAATTCTAAAATGTGAGGTACACCACTTCCCTACACCGGGATAATCCCAAACCTTAAAATTCCTTTTCTCTGTAGGCAAGGACCTGATTGCCTCCACAAATCTTCTGAACAGGCACCAAGTCATCCTGTCAGACATTGCCAGCCATGAGCCACACATCCAGGTGATAACACAGAGGGGAAACAAAATGGTAGAGGAAGGTACGTGTGACTCAGATTGACTTGCTAAACCATCACTACGCCACTTCTTCTGGGAAGATGTTTGTACAATTTTAGGGCTTCAAGAGAATTGAAAAATATCTGATCTATTTTCCCACCCAATGAAGAAATTCCTTTTGGGTGTTTCTGACAGATGGGTATACAGCTTTGTTTGTTTATTCCTATAGTAGGAATCTCCCAATCACACGAGCCAGTCCTTTCTCTATTTTTTCAAGCCAAAATTATTAAAACAAAATATTTTTACTCTAATCATCAATATGCTTCTTTGTAGAAGTTACAGAATTCAGAAACTAAATTCTGAAGCCCTGTAAGACAAATCCAGTATCTTTCCCATGTGCGAGCTTCCAGATCTGTGAACACAAAACTGAGGTTCCCAGTATCTTATCTTCATGCTAAACAGTGCCATTTATTTAAATTTCTCATTTTATATAGTTTTAATACCTCTCTTTATCTTGGTGTTCCATATTCAGAAAATGCTACTGCTTAAATACAGTGTTCAGGACAGAACATCACAGGCCAGTTGTGGTATAAACAATGCAGAATACATTGGGATTTTTCCTCTTGCTTGAAGAATTAGTTGCTGCCAGCGGATATACAGTTTTCGAAAATGTAGATTAAAATTCAGTTTTCAGAGAAAAAAAATCAGATACCAATTGAGTGATTCAAATCAACAGATGTTTACTTGGGATTCTTCATTAGTATAGAAATATATCCTTTTTTTTCTTCAAAATCTCCAACTAAAGGTGTGGATTTTTGTCTATTACCCCTTTCAGTTCTATCAGCTTTTGTTTCATGAATTCCAAACTCTGTTTTTTATGTATGCATACATTTATGATTTTTACATCTTTCTGATTAACTTAAATCTTACGTTATGCAATATTTGTCTATATCTGGTGATATTCTTTGTTCAGAAGTCTACTTAGTGTGACTTTAACATAGCCACTTGAGCTGTCATGTGATTATTTTTTGCATGGTACATATTTTTTTTCATCATTTTGCTTTTACTCTGCTTCTTTATATTTAAAGTGGATTTCTTACACACGACATATAGTTAGTCCTTGCTTTTATTTTATCCAATCTGGTAATTTCTCCCTTTTAATTGGAGTTCTTAGACCATTTACACTTAGTGCAATTATCAGTATGATTGAGTTTAATTGTAGCATTTTGCTATTTGTTTTCCTTTTGTCCATCATTTCTGTCTTCTTTGGATCAATTGTATATTTATCATGATTTAATTTTATCTTCATATTGGCCTATTAGCTACTGCTCTATTTGTGTGTGTGTGTGTGTGTGTGTGTGTGTGTGTGTGTGTGTGTGTATGTGTTTATTCTAGTGCAGTGATTTTCCAATTGCAGTTTGGAGTTCTTTATTTTACCTTCATTTTTGAAACACATTTTCACAGAAATTTCATTAAAATTCTTTGTTGACAGTTTCTTTCTTTCAGTTCCTTAAAGATGCTGCTACATTGTCTTCTGACTTGCAGTTTCTGATAAGTGTGCTGTCATTACTGCCTTTGCTTTTCTGTGTATAATTCATCTTTTTTTTTCTCTGACTCTTTTAAGATTTTATCTTTATTACTGGTTTTCAGCAATTTGATTATAATACAACTTGGTGTGTTTTTTTGTTTGTTTGTTTCTTTAGCTTGGCAATCATTGAGCTTCTTGGATCTGCTTTGTTATGGTACTTCCAGGGCAGACTTTACTCTGGAAATAATTTAGAGATTAGTCTGATACTAAGATATTACTCTTCTGAGGAATCTGTCTCACATATAACAATATCTTTCTACTTTAGTGAGTGCTAATTTGAACTATTTTCAGCCCTACGTGAGCCCTAAAAATTGTTTGGCTACTGCTTTTAAGCCACTCTTTTCTCACCCCCTGGAGTTTCCCTTCACAGGTGTGCAAATGAGTTGTTAAACAGTCTAAGGAACCTCTCTGCATACAACCAGTGCAGCACACTTTTCTTTGGGACTCTCTGCCACACATGTTTTAGTTGTTTTGTCTTTTCCAAACTCTGATTTCTGTCTCCTCAACTCAGTGTGACTTCTAGGTTCTGTTTTGGTCCACCCTCTAGCACTACAGCCTAAAAACTGTCCAAGGCATAAACTGTGGCAATTACAGGACAAATCTCATTTCTTTCTCTTCTCTCAGGAGTCCAAATCCTCTACCCATTGTCTGAAAATCACTGTATCTTACAATTTTTCTATTTTCTAGTTGTTATGGGTGGAAGAGTAATTCCGAGAACAATACATCTTTTATGGGCAGAAATAGAAATTTGTTGATTTGTTCTGTTTAGTCTAGAGGAGACATGTTTTTGGACCTCTGAGCATTACCCACATGTGGGTGTTCTGTTTTCAGGTCTGTATTTCTTAGGCTGTACCAACACATTCACCATCACACATACACATTTTCCCCCTATTATCACCTATTGCTGCCTAATCTCATTCAGAACGTTCCATTTCCCAGGGAACTTAAGAAAAATACGACATTGACTCAGTGCAGCACCAACCTCATGCCTCCCTTTTTTACTATCAGGTTATCTAAAGGATTAGAGTATGATAGACATTAATGAGGGTCATACTCCACTTTTCTATAACTACTCCTTAGGACACTTTGCAGCAGACGATGTGGCCTCTAGGGTTGAGAGTTTGAACAAGAATATGGAGTCTCTCTGTGCTCGAGCTGCCAGGCGGCAGAATGATCTTGAGGCCAATGTCCAGTTCCAGCAGTACCTGGCTGACCTGCATGAAGCGGAAGCATGGATTAGAGAGAAGGAGCCTATTGTAGACAACACTAATTATGGGGCTGATGAAGAAGCAGCTGGGGTAAGGTGGGGATAGGAATCAACATTGTCTATTGACCACTCACCAAATGTTACTAAATTATTAATTTAGCATTTGCTTAGATTGTAGACACCTACAGGTTCTGCTAGATTATTTGGGGTTTCCACAGTTATCCCCTTTGGCCCTTGTTTGCTAGGATACCCTCAGAGTTGTCAGGGATCTCAAAAGATATGCCACATTTTTCTAATTGTACAGAGATTCATCATAAATTATATAGAGATTATACAAACCCAAAGGTGTGAACAAAAATCCATGCCTGTGTGGTCCCATCCCAAACTTCCCAGAGTAACCTTCAGATTTCATAACCAACCATGGTTTTAAGATATAGGCATCTTAGTAATTTTATTGAAATAAAATCAGACAGACATGTTGGGGTAAGAAGAATCTCAAAGGTCATAATTACTCTTTATATCCATTTGTTTGTTTTGTTCATTGTCTATGGGAAACTGGTATAGTATTTCACAAACATTTTACACTAGAAATAATTGGAATGTGTATTTAAAGTCATGCACATGTTCACACTACAATATGACATTATCAACAGCATCCTCTTTCAGCTATGATGTATGTTGATAAAAATACTTTTGCAAATTTGAGTTAATTTGGTTTTAGCAAATATAATGAAATTGTTATTCATTTATTAATTTCTGTTTTCTTGAGTCTTGCAAAATTAAGGTCAAAAGTAACTTTTTAATAGATAGAAAGTGGCTCTTACCAAGATTTAAGACAATTAGAATAACCAAAATAATAGTAGTAGCATCCCCCAAGCGTACTTAGTGTTTCTACTATATCAGTTCTCAATATCTTCTTATCAACAAATCCAGGTTCTTCTGAAGAAACATGAGGCCTTCCTAGTGGATCTTGAGGCATTTGAAAACATTATCCAAGCTCTCCGGGAACAGGCAGAAGCCTGCCAGGTAAGAAGGACTTAGTGATGACAGGAATCACATTTCCTACCACAAAGAAGAAAGAATTCTCTTTATCACTGATTTTTACTTCCTACAACCAAGCAAACAGTTGCAAAGAAAATACTAAGTTTTATAGTCCTTACAGGCAGGAATGGTAGCATCTTTGTAACACCTGCAGAGATTTAGTCCAAGAGACGTTTTTGAAACTTATTATGTTTTCATTGATATCTTTTTTTTTTGGTTTTCCTTTTCTTCATTTTTAAACTCTACCTTTCTTTTTCTTTCTTTTCTTTGTCTGCTTCTCTTCTTATTATTTTCTTTCTTAATTCCCTTCCTTAATTCCTTAATTGTTCTTTTTTACTATTATATACCAACACATTAAATATCTACCATATGCAAGTATGAAAAAAAAATAATCCTGACTTGCAGAAAAATTACAGTTTATTAAGGAGTAAGAAATTTAAACAATAAGTACATGTAATAGATGTATAAACAGGAAAAAGAGACTCAAATTAAGGAATCTTTTGTTCTCCTGAAATAAGACTGCTGGAAGATAGGAAAATTTTAATAGCTGAGATAAACCATTTTATCTGAGTTACTAAAAAAAAAAAAAAAAAAAGAATGGTTTACTGTTCAGTCTATGCAAAGAAGTCTTTTGTAGTTGAATAGCCATGAGAGCAAATGCACCAAGGAACAAAAGTACTTGGGAAACGGGAAATGCAATTGGTTGAGAATGTAGGAATGGCGAGAGCACAGGGTGAAAGAGAGTGTCATAAAGACTGATAAAGCTGGAATCAGATAAGTGACATAACAGTGTCGTCTGTGTGTTGTTAAAGAAAAAAGAGGCACACTTTTTACATCAAGGAATTCTTTCTAAGGAGAGGCTTTGAATTCACACACTTGGAGTAGACAAAAAACATAGACTCAGCAGGTCTTGTCAGTATATATTTACAGAGCTCCATAACTATGCCTTAACCAGGCTGTGCACGGTGGGTGCCCAAACAAGAACAGGTGGACTTATGCACTGTATATTATGAAGAAACACAGCACTTGGAGGATATGAAATCAGAGAGATCTGAAGGAGAGGTACAGCTTCAACTCCAATCTGAAGAGAGGGTGGGTCATTGCTTGGGAAGAGGAGTTATATTTTTCTCATTTTTTTTTCAGAGATATATTTGAAGAAAGCAAAAATCAGAGAAAACTCTACCTTGGGGAGCAGGTTGCTAGCTAACAAGAGACACAAGATATTCTTCATGATCTAAGTTTATGACATCAATTTTTAAAATGTTGTGGCCTTTCTTCTGATACAGATTACTCATTTCTAAAAAAGGAGGTCCAGAGTTCCTTGACAAAATAAATGACTTAAAGTCCAAGGGGATTGTCAGTGGAGGCCTTGGGATAGGGGAAGGGTATGACAGACAGTGGTCTTTCACTTTCTCAAACAGTTCCGTGACATGTTGATGTGTATAAATCTTTTGGCTCTTCTTAGAGAAGCGTATTACCCCTCCTACTTTACGAACCAGTGGCTTGGAACATCTAATACATTTCTGACAAACTAAATATTTACCTTTTCACTTTGTTTTCATATTTCCCAACCTGCCTGTCTCCTGGTAAGTATGAGAGTGGAGCAGTGTCTCTGAAGAAGGCATAGTTTAACCTCTGGCAGCCATGCAGGAGGTTCCTGTCAGAGTCTGCTCTCTCCTGTGAGGCCCCAGGACTGCCCGCCACTGGCAGGCTCTACACAGAGATATTCCAGTGGGTGACTGACATCTGCTTCCTGCTTTCGTTCAGCAACAACAGGCTATACCAGGAGAAGGTGCTGCTCGAGAAGAGAGGGTGGTGGCTTTATATGACTTCCAGGCCCGCAGCCCTCGAGAAGTCACCATGAAGAAAGATGATGTCCTAACTCTGCTCAGTTCCATCAATAAGGTGGCTTTTCCTTTTAACCTTCTTCCAATCAGCAAAGTGGCTCTTCCACAGAGGTCTCTCCTAGCCCTGTCAGATGTTCATATTGTTACCACCCAACATCTTTTTATCACTTTATTTCTTAAATAACTTGGATTTATTAAGTAGTATCTTTTTTTCTAGGTATTGTACAATGTCTTTTAAAATTTCAATCCCAATTTTACAGTAAAAGAAATGAAGAATTAAAGAAGTTAAGCAATTAATCCAAAGATATATAGGGCATAAGTGACAATTCTATAATATATTTACAGGACTGAGTTGTCCCTTTCTTCCCATATCTTTGCTTATTCCTTTTCTGTGCTAGTATTCCTAGTGGCAACACAACAATGCCTGGCATTAGGAGGAGGCTTATTTCAACTTGACTTTCTTTAGACCTGTGAGAGCAGTGATAAAATATTGGCTGGGATTTTTAACATATTTTTCGTAGGAAATCAAGTATTATTTTATATTCTAATACCTAATTAATTTACAAAAATTCTTATAAGTCAAGAAGGGATAAAATATTGGCTGGGATTTTTAACATATTTTTCGTAGGAAATCAAGTATTATTTTATATCCTAATACCTAATTAATTTACAAAAATTCTTATAAGTCAAGAAGAGATTTGGGGATATTATTATTCTTAAGATAAGTGAATTTTTTGGAGAGGTAAGATATTTTATTATCAAATAAACTGTGTGCTAGGCCTCCTTTGTCTTTTCCTAGGCCTCTCCATTTCACCACATTATTCTCTGAGGGAATTAACTCCAGAGTGGTTAGTATAGCAACAATAAAAAACGACAAAAAAAGTATTCATATAAAATAAGTTCAGGACGGGCCGGCCCGGTTGTGCACTGGATAAGTGCGCCGCTTGGGAAGTGCGGCGGCGCTCCCACCCGAGGGTTCGGATCCCACATACAGACCGGTTCCCGCTCACTGGCTGAGCGAGGTGCGGGAGCAGCGCCGAGGGTTGCAATCCCGTTGCCGGTCCCCGGTCCGGTACGGGGGCGACACTGAAGGTTGGGATCCGTTGCCGGACACGGAAAAAGACAAAAGACAAAAAAAAAAAATAAAATAAAATAAGTTCAGGACAATTTTTAGGACCTCTGCAAGAGGACTAGGGGAGGAGAAATTTTTGTGCAATATTGTCACATACACAAGCTCCATCCCAGAAACCCAGCTGGATTCTGGCTCCATGTGCTTTTGGTGAATTCCTGGTGAACAAAGTGCCCCATAATTAGGACAGCTGTCATTGGTTTTTGAAAACCTCCCCAGTGTTAACTGTCTGACATGAAATGTCAAGTTGCTTGATTTCAGAGGCTTGTCTCTGCAATTTTTGCAACTTCTCATTTACTTTCTTTGTGATATGTGAAAACTATATGCCACGCATAAGTGACAGTTAGCCTCTCTTGGCCATCAGTCTGTGCCTGTAACTAGATACTTAATTATCAGAGTTGAAGTCTTCTCTGTTTGTGGCTTTTTCAATAATTAAGGAAGGAGTGGGGGTCTTCTCTATCTTCAGGACTGGTGGAAGGTCGAAGCTGATGATCACCAGGGCTTTGTCCCGGCTGTTTATGTCAGGAGATTGGCCCATGATGAGTTCCCCATGCTCCCCAGGCGGCAGCGAGAAGAGACAGACATCTCCCAGCGCCAGGAGCAGGTTGAGAACCAGTAAGTTCTGCAGGCTGGAGAACTGGACAGCATTTGGATAAACATTTTCTATTTGCTGGAGACATTCTCTCATGACTCTACATCTGTTAGATTAGAGATGCCATAGCAAATTCACAGATTTTAAGGAATGAAAGCAAACTAAGGATCCTTCCAATCCTTCAGTTTTTACATGAGGAAAGGAAACTCGAGAACTGTTAATCAATTGCCTGAGGCCGGACACTTAACAGAACCATGTCTTCTGACTCCCTGTCAGCGTTCTTTCAATGTTACTGCAAAGTCTCCTGGCATCAATATGAACTTTGTTTACTACACCAGATGCTTTCATAACCAGTCGTCAGTTGGCATGTAAAAATTTCACTTTTATAGAATGTGGAAGGAATGTTGCCAGCCATACAATCAGGTCCTTGAAGTTTCTATTATTTTTAAATGTAATAATATGTGTTTGTCTCTCTGCTCCCACTGCCTTTTTCCTTCCATCTTTATTTCCTCTTCTCCTTTACTGATCTTCTTTTTATTTTCCTCCATTTCCATTTTGTCCCTTCCGTTCTTTACTTTTCTCACTTTTCCTCTACTATTCTATGTTTCCCCCATCTTTTAGTCCACTTTTCCCATTTTCTTGACTTTTCCACCCAGGTACTACTCTCTCCTTGATCGGGCAAGAGAACGTAGACGTCGTCTATTGCAACGTTACAATGAATTTTTGCTGGCCTATGAGGCAGGAGACATGCTCGACTGGATCCGAGAGAAAAAGGCAGAAAACACTGGGGTGGAACTAGATGATGTCTGGGAGCTGCAGAAAAAGTTTGATGAGTTCCAAACGGTGAGAAAGAGGAACCTTTTTTAGGCACCTTTTTGAGGGTTGTCATTGTTTCCTTTTATCTCATGTCTTTTCCTACATGGTCTTTTAATTTATTTCACATTTTAAAAGTATCCTCCCAAAGCAACTAAGAGCTTCACAGCTCAGATCTTCCTGTGGGTACTGTGGTTGTCAATAACTGGATGGGGGATGCAGAGGAAACAGGTTACCCTAACTTTGCAGCCTGCAATCGCTATCACTCCAACATCTTGCCGGGAGTGCTGGTCTTTCTGAATTCTTCAAAACTTGCCCTATGCTATAATGTATTCCTGATGCCCAGGTTCAGATGGGGTGTTGTGGGACTGTGTGTAAAGTCTAATTATGAGGAAGATATCAGTGGAGGAAGAGAAGAATAACCAGACTTTATAGCCAGACAGTTTCTTAGTTTTTGCTTACCTAAACGCTTTCATTGGCCTTTCTTCTCTCAGATTTATTCCATTATCTTAACTAGCAGTGGGTGTAAATTCCTTTCTTTTTTCTTTGTCTTATGATATCTTCCACATAGAATTCAAGGACACATATATATATTCCACACATGCATTTGTGTGTGTGTGTGTGTGTGTGTGTGTGTGTTTATATATGTATATACAAAATGAACTCCCTAGAGCTGTTTCTTACATCTCTTTATACAGTCAGATTGTAACTCAGTCAGTCAAATTCTGTAAAGTTGTAGGACTTTGTAGTGACAGGAAAGAATATTACACAGTCAGGTATAGATTCCTCTGATGGTGTAACTTAATCCAGGTGTCGATTTCAAGAAATCCTTTAAGAAATCCAGAAAAATAGATAGGCTTCATATTCCAGATAAATAATAGTTATCTTGGCAAGTTTTGGATAGCCACTGGGTGTCAGGATATTTAAGGATACTCTTCTCAGTGGCAGACTGGAAGAGGGTAGCTTGCTTTGTATTGCAAATGCATTTAGCAATATGTTTTAATATTTAGCTGAGTGGGGTCAGAGATGGACAGGTAAGTATGGTGGATGGTTGAGAAAGTGTTTTATACTGTTTTGGACACATTTTTCCATCAAGGATTTGAAGACCAATGAGCCTCGGCTAAGGGAAATCAACAAGGTAGCTGATGATCTGCTATTTGAAGGACTTCTAACACCAGAAGGATCTCAAGTCCAGCAGGTAACCAAGATTCCCTCTATTCCTCCTCACCACCAGCTTGGGCTCTGGGAGTCCTCATTTCATGTCAATATACTTAACTTCGTATTCCACAAATCAGCTTGGATAAGCAGAGCTAACAGCAATACAGAATTGACTATAGGAAAGTTCAAAGACAATAGTCCATGTAGTCCATCACTTTTGTTCTTTAAATGATCTAAATCAAAGCAGATTCATTTATTGGCATTTATTGAGTGTCCTTTGTGCTCTCACACAGGTATTTTTAGAGTATTTTAAAAGGAGGGAGAAGGAGGACCAGAAATTCTAATTTAGCTCTAAGAGGCAGTAATTAGAAAGTTTAGATAAAATTGCACTGGACATCAAAAAATTGGGTTTATTCCTCGCTCTATCCCTGTCTGACTGTATGATCCTGGGCAAATCCCTTCATTTCTTCATCTCTAGTCAGAAAAGCAAGAGTGTTGAATAGCACAATCTCTAAATTTCCTTTTAATTTTCTCTACTGTGCTCCATCAAATGGAGCATAAAGTTCTTGCCTGAAATGCCCACCCTAAAATTTAACTTTTGAAATGAAATTTTGGAATGCATGATTTCAACTGACCTGAAATCCTTAAATTACAACACATACTAACCTCACCCTCAATGCCACACACACAAGAAGTTCAGTGCTCAAATACATAAAAGCAAAGAGAACGCAGAAGAAGCTATGATGTGGGAAGAGGTTGGTTAAAAAAGTTTACTGGAAGAGATGGGCTCTGATAAGCATACTGAAGGAGAAGGATACAGGTCAGTAGAGATGAGGGAGGGGGCATTCTTGACCTGATTCTGATCTAGACTTCAGAGTCCATAAAAGACCTAATGAACACCAATGGAATGTCCAGTCTAGCTCTCTTGAGTTGTCATAAACTGTGAGGATGAGTTCTCTGCCTCCTTTTGTGGTGGTTGCTATGGGATAAGAGGAGGGGAGGAATGTGCATGGGAACAATGTGCTTACCCCTGAAAGAAAGTAGGGCTCTAAGAGGCCACTAGGTTTATTCAATTCAGGATGCAGAAAGGTATTATGTTTGTCCTAAGGAAATGTGATGGCTTCTAACTATAAGACAACACTTTCCACTCATTTTTGGAGTTTATACTGTACTCTCTGTGGCAACAGACAGCAGTTACTCCTCTAGGGTTGATGGTTCAACACTGGGACATCAGTTTGAGAAGAAAAGAAATCCCTTTCTCTACTGCACTGGCATAAATGAGGCCCAAGCTCAAGCTATCGAAGAAAGAAATAAAGCTATGAAGTGTCTGAAGGAGACAGCATGAAAACAATTATGATTTAAATCTCATCAGACACCACTGAGCTATCTGACTTAGCTCTTTTTAAAAGTCTGATGCATCTGTCTCTTTTAGGAATTGAATGCCCGTTGGGGTTCCTTGCAGAGGCTTGCAGATGAACAGCGGCAGCTGCTGGGCAGTGCCCATGCAGTCCAGATGTTTCACAGGTAAGAATTTTACCTCTAAAAAGCAGTGCTGCTCTACAACTGACTCACAGAACCCCCAGGTCCAGTTGCTATGGTTGAACCAGAGTTGTTAGTGTATCCTTTATTCCTGAGTGACAAACCATTTGCCAATAGGAGACCAGGTTTTTCAGTAGTAGATTCCTCCCTTGGCACATAGGTTACTCTTAGGCAACCAGCTTCAATATTCTAGTGCCCTGTCTTGGGCTCTGGCACATTATTAGTAGTCTATATATGTTTCATGAGAGAGAATGAAATTTGTCATGGAAAGAAAAGATTTAAATAGTTATATTTTTGAACTAGAAGCAGACAGTAGAGGGCAGCAGACATCACATTGATTCTAACTGTTCAGTCAACATTTTTTGTCTGATTTCCAAACCATATTTATCCTAAGAAACATATACACACAATCAAATAATTAAACAAACAAAACAAAACAAAACAAACATGATCACAGTGTATAAATGTATTTTTGAAGATGCGGGGAAGAGAAAACTGAGACCCAGACAGGCCTGGCTGTTTAGAATATCTTAAGACGGAAAGCTATGAAATATAATAGTTATGCATGTGGCTCTGCAGTCAGACTACATGGTTGAAACTTAGGCTCCATCATTCAGCAGTGCTATAATCTTGAGGAAATATTTATCCTCTCTAGGCCTCAGGTTTCTGAGATGTATAAGGGAAATAGCAATAGTAACTGTGCCTCTAGAAATTGTGAAGATTAAATGAGACAGACAGTCTGGCACATAAAAAAGGATGATGATGATGATGGTGGTGGTAGAGGGGGCAGTGAAGTCTTTCTCATGAGCCCAGTCTCAGACCCCTAGTCTGCCTCTGGCACTTGTCATTACTCCTAAGCTCCTTGCTCTCTTGTGTACCAGAGATGCAGATGACATGAAGGAGCAGATTGAAAAGAAGTGCCAGGCCCTCAGTGCTNGCCCACCCTAAAATTTAACTTTTGAAATGAAATTTTGGAATGCATGATTTCAACTGACCTGAAATCCTTAAATTACAACACATACTAACCTCACCCTCAATGCCACACACACAAGAAGTTCAGTGCTCAAATACATAAAAGCAAAGAGAACGCAGAAGAAGCTATGATGTGGGAAGAGGTTGGTTAAAAAAGTTTACTGGAAGAGATGGGCTCTGATAAGCATACTGAAGGAGAAGGATACAGGTCAGTAGAGATGAGGGAGGGGGCATTCTTGACCTGATTCTGATCTAGACTTCAGAGTCCATAAAAGACCTAATGAACACCAATGGAATGTCCAGTCTAGCTCTCTTGAGTTGTCATAAACTGTGAGGATGAGTTCTCTGCCTCCTTTTGTGGTGGTTGCTATGGGATAAGAGGAGGGGAGGAATGTGCATGGGAACAATGTGCTTACCCCTGAAAGAAAGTAGGGCTCTAAGAGGCCACTAGGTTTATTCAATTCAGGATGCAGAAAGGTATTATGTTTGTCCTAAGGAAATGTGATGGCTTCTAACTATAAGACAACACTTTCCACTCATTTTTGGAGTTTATACTGTACTCTCTGTGGCAACAGACAGCAGTTACTCCTCTAGGGTTGATGGTTCAACACTGGGACATCAGTTTGAGAAGAAAAGAAATCCCTTTCTCTACTGCACTGGCATAAATGAGGCCCAAGCTCAAGCTATCGAAGAAAGAAATAAAGCTATGAAGTGTCTGAAGGAGACAGCATGAAAACAATTATGATTTAAATCTCATCAGACACCACTGAGCTATCTGACTTAGCTCTTTTTAAAAGTCTGATGCATCTGTCTCTTTTAGGAATTGAATGCCCGTTGGGGTTCCTTGCAGAGGCTTGCAGATGAACAGCGGCAGCTGCTGGGCAGTGCCCATGCAGTCCAGATGTTTCACAGGTAAGAATTTTACCTCTAAAAAGCAGTGCTGCTCTACAACTGACTCACAGAACCCCCAGGTCCAGTTGCTATGGTTGAACCAGAGTTGTTAGTGTATCCTTTATTCCTGAGTGACAAACCATTTGCCAATAGGAGACCAGGTTTTTCAGTAGTAGATTCCTCCCTTGGCACATAGGTTACTCTTAGGCAACCAGCTTCAATATTCTAGTGCCCTGTCTTGGGCTCTGGCACATTATTAGTAGTCTATATATGTTTCATGAGAGAGAATGAAATTTGTCATGGAAAGAAAAGATTTAAATAGTTATATTTTTGAACTAGAAGCAGACAGTAGAGGGCAGCAGACATCACATTGATTCTAACTGTTCAGTCAACATTTTTTGTCTGATTTCCAAACCATATTTATCCTAAGAAACATATACACACAATCAAATAATTAAACAAACAAAACAAAACAAAACAAACATGATCACAGTGTATAAATGTATTTTTGAAGATGTGGGGAAGAGAAAACTGAGACCCAGACAGGCCTGGCTGTTTAGAATATCTTAAGACGGAAAGCTATGAAATATAATAGTTACTAAACAAACAAAACAAAACAAAACAAACATGATCACAGTGTATAAATGTATTTTTGAAGATGCGGGGAAGAGAAAACTGAGACCCAGACAGGCCTGGCTGTTTAGAATATCTTAAGACGGAAAGCTATGAAATATAATAGTTATGCATGTGGCTCTGCAGTCAGACTACATGGTTGAAACTTAGGCTCCATCATTCAGCAGTGCTATAATCTTGAGGAAATATTTATCCTCTCTAGGCCTCAGGTTTCTGAGATGTATAAGGGAAATAGCAATAGTAAATGTGCCTCTAGAAATTGTGAAGATTAAATGAGACAGACAGTCTGGCACATAAAAAAGGATGATGATGATGATGGTGGTGGTAGAGGGGGCAGTGAAGTCTTTCTCATGAGCCCAGTCTCAGACCCCTAGTCTGCCTCTGGCACTTGTCATTACTCCTAAGCTCCTTGCTCTCTTGTGTACCAGAGATGCAGATGACATGAAGGAGCAGATTGAAAAGAAGTGCCAGGCCCTCAGTGCTGCTGACCCTGGCTCAGACCTGTTCAGCGTCCAAGCCCTTCAGCGACAGCATGAGGGCTTTGAGAGAGACCTCATACCCCTGGGGGAAAAGGTGAGATCTATGCTTCCGAGCTTTTCCAACACTTTTCTTTCCCTATTTATACCTATGCCAATGCCCCTTTCTTTGATTCTCTTTCCCAGTCTCTTATTCTTATAGTTCTTTTTATCTTGTGCCATACTCTTTTTTGTACCCTGTCCCTAAGCGAGACCACTAAAAGAACATGCTCCTTGACTACTAACATGGGGAAAAACAGATTGAACTCCTACTCTCCAAGGGAGTACCCTATATCCCTCTTGCCTCTTTACTGGGTTCCAAGTCACCACAACTTGTGGCAGATAGTTGGAGGTCAGTAGCCTAGAAGAAACAGCAAATGTCCATACTCAGGCCCATGTCTGAGTACAGTGCAGTGTTTCTTCAGTCAGGAATTGACTGAGTTTAATCTTACTTCAACTGAAAAGTGAACTCTGGAGCTTGCCAGTTATACTCAGAGGCATCATACAGCTGGCATTATCGGGCAGAGCAAAAAGAAGCACAGAATATGTCTATATTAGAAAGATTCTCACATGAACAATTAGGACCAAGGACCTTTGGGGTCCCTAATTAATATTGCCACTAGCCAGAAGTGTCAGTTAATAATCCTTCCATGTGGCCTTCCTATCTTAAGAGAAAGTATGATAATGCCAATTTTTACTACTTCAGAGTTATCATATGGACTAAACTGTTGTTACTATTTTATAACGTATTAAGACATGCTTATACATCACTGCTGTCTATTTGGAGAGATGTCTGCTAGGACTCAGGACTCTTCCTTTGCTGAGATTCAGGCATGACTCTAGGCTGATTATCAGAGCTCTTGCACCTCCTCAGGTGATTATATTGGGGGAGACAGCAGAGCGGCTCAGTGAGTCCCATCCAGATGCCACTGAGGACCTGCAGAGACAGCGAATGGAGCTGAGTCAGGCCTGGGAGGACCTGCAGGGGCGTACAGAGGACCGTAAGGAAAGCCTAAATGAGGCCCAGAAATTCTACCTGTTTCTCAGCAAGGCCAGGTAAAGCTCACAAGCATACTTATAACACGTAGAGTGAGTAACTTCCATGTTTGGCCCCTGAGTAGGGCTTCTAGGAGCAGTCTGGGTCCAAATGCTGTTCACCATTGGGTCTGGAGAGCACCATTAAGTGATGCAGTGGGAACAGCAAACCTAGTACCTGTGAAGCATATAAAGGCAGATAGAAGATGTTATTCTAGAAATGTTTTTTAGAGATGGGGAAGCTATAGGACAGAGCATGACTTTTGAATGTTAAGGGGAGGGGAGGGACAGTCCTACAGCAAGTTGCAAGGTTTTCTTGTGAATGCCAATATGTCTATTTCTCTAGGGACCTACAGAATTGGATCAGTGGCATTGGTGGGATGGTATCATCACAGGAGCTGGCTGAGGACTTAACTGGCATAGAGATCTTGCTGGCGCGACATCAGGTATGGCAACATAAGCTATAGCCATTGATCTCTTTTAAAAGCTCACCCTCATTTTAAAAATTTCAGTGGCATTAGCTTCGCCTGCCTCTGCCATCTTTTTCCCATAGGAGCATCATGCTGACATGCAGGCAGAGGCTCCCACCTTCCAGGCCTTAGAAGACTTTGGTGCAGAACTGATAGACAGTGGGCACCGTGACAGTCCTGAAATTGAAAATAAGCTTCAAGCTGTCCGACTAGAGAGAGATGATTTGCAGAAGGCTTGGGAACGACGCAAGAAGATCCTAGACCAATGCTTGGACTTGCAGGTGCAGCGAGTTACCAATTGTTAAACAGGTTTAGCCTCAGTATGTTCCTTGTATGCAGTTTTGCCTGGTTATTAAGGACTATCAGTTCGCTAGACTTTCCATGTTGTAAGCATAAGGGCATGTCTTGCTTACCTGGCATTGTACTCTGCTTCTTAGATTAATCATTGTTGTGTTCTCTGCTCTTAACCCTGTTAAAAGATCCAGACAAGATAATGGTCAGTCCTGAAGAGATAGTAGGGTGAATATTATTTATTGATTAATTGAGGAATTGACTGATTTTTTTATTGATAACTGACTGTGTGCAGGCCCTGGTGCCACAGATATTAATATGACAGCGTTCCTTTTCTTAAGTAGGAAAATTAGACACGTAGACATGTAGAAATTAAACATAGACATTTTAGTACAGTGAGATGATCATTAACAAAATACGACATATGAATGCTTTGAGGCTAAAGAGGAAGGAGTAATTTAAAGCTTTTCAGGGAAGGAAATGGGAGGGTCACAGGCTACCCTAAGGGGTAATGTTTAAAAGAGTCTTAAAGAAATAACCAGCCGATATCTACCAGGTGTAGGATAT